GCGGGCGCTGCGGCCTGGCCCCGCGCCGGCCCCGCCGGGGCGCCGCCCCACGTAAGGAACAAGTAACGGCCAAAGCGGGATTGCCGGCTGCAGCCTCCGGGCGGGACACAGGCAGAAACGAAGAGGGGGTTGTTTGAGGCCCCCAAGCCAAGGGGGAAGCCCAGGAGTGCCCGGTTGCCATCCCGGCTGTCCTGGCGCTCCCGCGGAGCTGTGGGGCGAGGAAATGGCGCCGCACCGGAGCCAGCCTCGCCATGGGCACTTGCTCCCGCTATTAGAAAAAACAGCCAAAGAGTAAAAATAATGGAACCCACTAAAATGTAAAACAACATCCCAGTGCCTTCTCTGTATGGGTATGAAATGCCCTCCTCATGTCCTCCCACACCTCTCGATGGCAGCGGCCACTTCAGCAGCACTGCTCCAGGGTGGCACAAGTTGGCGTACCGGGGATCATGCAACAATGCGATCCCATGTGCCCAAGTATGAATTTTGTGGGAATTATGAGTAAGAGAAATGAGTTGTGTGTAAACCAGTAGGTGCGAAAACGCCTGAGAGAAGCGCAAAGGCACAACTGCGGTGGCAGCGGTACGTCTGAACTGCCTAAGCGATGCTTAATAGTTTTTGTACACATTTAAAACGCTTTCAGCACCCTATACAAGAATGCTGTGAACTCCCTTAATTGTTTAATTTCTCTTTGATACAGATAGATGAAAAGGCTGCCTGCTCTGCTGAAACCCTGTAAGCAGTTTTCCATTGCAACTATCCATTATGCAGAAGGAGTTTTACAACCATGTGCCTGGAAAAATAAATTATGGATGGCCAGAGTGTCTAAAAGCTTCCTAGTGGATGGGGTTGTGTTACATCAGAGCTGTGCTTCTCAGAAACTCCCATGGCTTCTTAAATGCTCATTAGCTGCTGAAAGCCTAGGTATGACACAGGCAGATTCGCTTTGTTTCTCATGACAAGACCATCAAAGCCAACATGTTGGTAAACAGCAATATTAAATGCAATATTAAATGGGGGAGGGTGCAAAAAAAAGGGCAAATTTATAGTGGAGGGTGGCCGGTTTGTCTTAGCCTTCAACGTCGCTTGCGTTCAAGGAGTGGTGCGCACAGCTGTCATGCATAATACATGTTGGTTTTAATCTGCAAAGCCTCGAACGTTGTTGAGAACCCCATGGGAAGACCCTGCTCACTAAGAGGGCCCCACACCAAAGCCTTGGAAACTGTGGCTGCCCAAAATATGATTTAGTATACGCGCTCAGTAACCAGTATGATCTGTCATTAATAAATGTGCTTAATAACCCGTTGTCTTCAAATCAAATGGCTCATGAATCTTACATGAGATTTAATTACGCGACAGGCCTGACGCTAAAGCTGCACAAGCCAACATTTCCAAGCTTAGGATCAATCCGTGCAGTTGGTAGGCAAGAGCATTCGGACAAAAAGACCACTTGAGCAAAACTCCATTTGCATTTTTTAAGGGATGTTTTATTAGGCAAAGGAAGGAGCAAAACTAACACACAAAAAAAACCCCGACAAAAACTCCGTACCTGAACTTTATGTAAGATTTCTGAAAACCAACAACGGTATCTTCCCTCAGTAACTGTTCTTGGCTGTTCCCTGATTCTCTGTCTTTCCAGTTGACTGGCCTTCCCTGCAGGACTCTGAGCTTACACAGTTACTGTAGAGTGAAATCCTTCTTAAGGTATTTTACACCATCTCTCTTAAGACCCAGCAGCAGTCATATTGCAGCAACGGCACGCCTTGTGTGGATTTGCCATGTAAGTATTTATAGAGCTTTCAAACTGTGTTTTCCAGTAAACGCTCAACACGGTGCTGCCCATGTGAGATTGCAGCAGGGTCCGTGCCTGGCTCACTTATTGCTAATTCAGATATGTCCATGCACACTGAAATGACAGTGTGTTCGAGGGTTATGTACCTGAGAAGGATGAAGCCTTATCTCCAGTTTCTGAAAACTGCCTTGCTTACTTTTTTTGCATGTGCTTTTGGACCTGGTTGTAGTTTTTAAGGTTCATTGCCAACAACTGATAATCTGGGCCTATCTGAAAGTCTGAAACACTGGGCTTCTTAAGGAAATGTTCAAAGAGGCTGGAGCAGGAAGAAAAAAATGTTCTCTAGACCTAAAAAAAATGATAAACAGACACTTTTTGTGGTAACAGACTGAAAACAAGGACAATATGTGGACAAATAGGTCCCTTGACAACACCTACTACTCGGAAAAATATTGATGAGAGAAAGTGAATGGCACACAAAGAAACTGTCCAATTACTGTCCATGGCTTAAGATGTGCAGAAGTAGGTCACCGAGAATTTCCCCCGCCCAGTTTCCAGATGGCAATAACGAGGTACATGGTGTGTCCTGTTCAGATCCTTTGACAGCCTGCTCTTATTTGATTAGGGGGGTTTCAGTTTTTCAGAAAATGTCCCTTTAACCTTTCAAGTAGATCTAATACATTTCAGGGGGAAAGTCTTTTTTTAAAAAAAAAGGAAAAAAAAGAAAAAACTTTTAAAAAAAGCTTTTAGTAGAATTCAATTGAAAGTCTGAAATCTGCTTCTTCAGTTTAATTCAAGCAGGACAGATAGGATGTACAGTAGGTCAAGCTGTAGTAAGTATTTCTTGTTGCATAAATTGAAAGTTGCCAGCCTGTTTATAACTTTCATGAGCATCCTGCTTGCATCTAATGAGAAATTATTTAATGAACACGCACTGCAGCTGAATACAATTTTGACCTAAAATGAGATGTGGTTGAATTGATTAAAAGAAACAGTAAAGCATTTCCTCTTCCCTGACTTTTGCCTCTTAAGAAAACAAACTTGAATCAAACTTCGTCTGCAATTCCAAAAGTTTCCGAAGACTGTAGTGAGTTTCTTTAGCACTAAATCGCCTTTTCAGATTACTCCTGCCCACATACTGAAGCAGGTATATGGATACTTTGTGAGTTATTCTTCACTGTAGAGCTGTATAAAGCATGTAAGAAATAGTGCTGGAGATAGCTGTCTTGTACAGGAAGGGTAAAAACGTCTCTCTCATATGTAAGATACTTAAAATAAACACCTTATGAGAAGTTTAAGCAGTGTGTACTCCAGCACATTAAGCTAAAGTATGTGTAAAACAAGGTCACGAAAGCAAGTAAATCCAGTACTGCTTCTACCACTACCAGCAGCAGTGGAACTCAATCCATGTAATAAATTATATGTTTCCCTGGGGTTGAGAAAGCTTCTGAGGTATTTATTTGATTCACTCTCCTGTAGAAAGAAGTTGGTGAAGGAGATTGAACAGTTAGAAAACAAATAAGAACACCGAAGCAAGGCCCTGGAGCAGCATACTATTAAGTGTTCCATAAGAAAAGTTAAAGAATTTAGTGTTAAAGCAAGAGTCTAATTAGAAAAAAAAGGAGGTATTCTGCTTTGAGAGATAAATCACTACATTTTGCTGAGGTCTTTTTTTGCATCACTGCTAGATGACCTACCAGGGACATAATGGCATCTCTGTAAAGATTTACTGACTTTCCCTTCCTTTGAGATCCCAGTAATGCCGATGAGACACTGCCTTGATCTGATCAATTTACGGTGAATGATGAGATACTGCCTTGATCTGATCAATTTACGGTGAACTTCAGAGCAGTAGCTACGTTTCAGAATTTAAGTTAAAATAAAAAAACTTGACAGAATTTAGAAAATACAAAAAATGATAACAAGTTATGTGATATTTGGATCAGCAGCAGAAAGAAAACAAGACCGCAATCATCTTTTCCTTGAATACGATATTTTGACATGCTGGAAACCTTTGTGGCCTTCCCAAGCTTCACACTCAATCATGAATGCAAATCAGTAAGAGGAAGGCTTTTCTTCTAAGTGCCTAAGGCAAATGAACTCTTCTATGCACGAAAACCCAGTTCAGCAAAGCATGTCAGCATGTGCTTTTGACCACTTCAGTTCGGCAAGGCAGTTAAGAATATGCCTAACTTTAAATATGTATTTAGCTTAATCATTTTGCTGACCAGGGATTGATGTCTGACTTAAGGCATTAAACATTAATGACAAAGCTGAGAACACAAAATAGTATGTAAATCAGGATTTGTCGGGACTAGAAGGAACTGATTCAAACAACATGATCTTTGTACGATTAAGATTTTGTAGAAGATACGAAGCCATTAAAGGGCTCAGGGTCTGCCGACGGAGATGGCTGGCAGTCACCAACAATCATTCCAGTCATTCCACCATCTCAATCACCTCTTTTAGAGTGTCTGCTGAGAAGACTGGGGGGAAAACACTTCCCCCTACAGTAAATGGAGTACTTCTTAGGTCCCTGATGAGGTTGCTGCTACAATTTTAACCCTAGATGTTGTTCAGAAGCAGCCCTGCAGTGTTGACTAATCGGAGTGTTGACTACATCCCTTACGATGAAGAATGTGGGTACCATGATAATTATTTGCAGATCTTTTTGTATTATTGTTACGGGCTTTTCTCGCCGCTTTTGGACCTGCCGCGGGTGGTTGCAAGGTCTGTTTGAGCAGCTCCGTTGTGGCCCGGATCCCGTGCGTGGGGATCTGCCGGCCACGCCGCCAGCTGCCTGCGCGCGCGGGGCCTCCGCACCGCCTGCTGATGACACTTGCTTTTATATTTCTGTCTCTTCAGGTCCTCGCAGGGCAGCCAAACCACTTACCCAGTGACTCATGAAGATGGAGATACGGATAAAAGCTCCCTGCCTATCTGTCCTGAAGTGGCTGAGGTAATGCTTGCAGCAGAGAGCAACTGCTTCAGTTCTGCTTGGCAGAAGATCCAGCAGTTGCTCCTGCAAGTCTACGTAATATTTTACGGCACTGCCCTAATTCTTCCTTTTTTGTGTTTTTTTTTTGTGTGTGTGTGTATATGTGTGTTTTTCTCCTTGTGGATGTATATTAACTTTCCATTTGATAGATTAATCTCTTATTAATGGCTGTGCTATAAGCTGTGAATTAGGCTGCATTTTTGCATGTTACATTAATTTAAGTGGAAACAAAATGTTTCTTCTTTATATAAAGAGCAGTGGTGAGTCATTTGGTAAAGTCCAACTTATGTCAGAGGCTGGTGAATAAAGCAGCAGCTCTGACATTAGTTTCTGTGCCTGATTAGGAGACCACCTGCAATTGATCTGTAATTGTGTTTGTACATCAGGGATGTTTACGCAGTGAATCAATTAGTTCTGAAGGAAGGAATGGCGTCAAGGACAGCTTTGAAAATGCTCAAGGTAACGTCTATCTATGAAAGTTCTGAAAAGATAGAGAACAGCTCCTTCCCCAGAACAAATACAATTCTTCACTGTCAACAGAGATGCTTTCAAAGTTAAATGTATTCCTTGAATTAGAAGCTGCCTAAAAAGCCATCGTAAAGGTGTTATGCAACTTGTGGAAACTACAGCAGAAATACTTACTTAGCTCTGGATTTCTGATTTGACACATCTGAACCTT